TTGATCTGTATCTCGGAGCTTTTTTCAACTATGAATTGGTTTTGAATAAAGGTACAGAATCTTCTTCTACACATTTTAGTAGATTTTTTTTCCCTGAGACTTATTCACAAAGTTGGATCTTCTGTATGTTAACTCATGTTGTTCTTTGTGATGAGCTGTTTAGCCAGTGAACACTGTGGCTTTGGGGATGGAAGAGATAAATATTTTGATGTGATGACTGAAAAACATTTTTAAATAACTATTATTGGATAGGTGGTCCTGAACCTCTGCACAGACATTCATTCTTTCGAAAGGACAAAATCATTTGTTCTTCTGACTTTGGTGATAAATGTTTGACATACAGTCCTGTGTGAAAGTCTTGAGTCACCCAAATTCTTTTGTATTTGACTTTTATTTTGTTTTAAGTTCTCCAGAATTTCTGAAGGGTCAATGTTATTCTTTGGACATTGGCTGCTATTTCACTCATTTTCCGTCCAGTCCTTGTGGTCGACTATTTTCAAAGGAAAGTTTTGGTGTGTTAAGCTACGTAACCCTGACCTATGAATCATTAAAGCTTCAAAAAGGCACTTAACTCTCGGGATGAACCAGTATTGTTTCTACAATCATGAATCAGTTTTAAATTGAATGTTTGTTACTTGTAGGGTGTTACAGAAACACATAAATTTGTCCTCATGTCTTTAATTGAAACTATGAAAAATGAACTGTGTCTGAAAGGAAAAAACCCCACTAGAAATCTGACACCAGACCTGAGAGAAGCATTTGGACCATCAGTTGATCCATCTATTGTTCACTGAAAACTGGCTGTCAAGTAGTCAGTGAGATATGCCAAATTACAGAAGGTGGGACTAGTGTCAATCCCAGCTGTCAAAGGGCAGCAGACAACCATTTACGCCTACTGCCAGTTTAGAATTTCCAGTTAACCAAACGTGCATACCTGCCTTTGGACTGTGGGAGAGAACCCACCCAGACACTGGGAGAAGATACAAACCCAACAGAGAGTGGCTCTGGTTTCTGTGCTTTACACATTACAATAACCCAGGGGTCGGCAACCCTGGGCACGTGTGCCGCAGCTGGCAGGCGAAGGGTTAACTGATGGCACGAAATGCAGTGAATTAATTTGTGAAGGTGCATTAAAAAATAAATGGCCAGGCCAGCATTGCACATGACGGTATCTTAGCTATCAACCCCAACTACCAGATTCAACTTGTAATTGGCTAAAAAATACCTTAGCCTATCGGTGAGATGGATGTTGTTAGCTGTCAGTTTTTTCAAGCGATGTTGAAATTTCCACATCCCAACACTTCAAATGTTTCAGGAGCTGTCTGCTCCGCACAGCATCAGCACCGCAGGAGTACTCGGATACATCCGTACTCGAGACAGAATTCACAATGTGTTTTCAGGACTTTCAGGTGTATGGACCAATGTTTTCTTTTCTGATCAAACCAGAAAGCTTTATTGAGCAGCTGGATTTGTCTCTCATTAACTGGCTGAGTTAATGCGACATCGAAATGCAGTTGATTGAACTGAAAAGCTAGACTCTGTGGGGGTCAAAGTTGGCAGAACTACGAACGCAGCTGGAATCCACAGCTGTGCGTGTTCATGGAGCTGCTGGACATCACTACCTGACAAGTTTAACCGTCTTCAGAACATTGCAGAGGCCTTATTGACAGTATTTGGCTCGACATGTCTGTGTGAGCAGACTTTCTCTCACATGAGTCCTCAGGTAGCCTCTGAATGCTGGACACTCGGAGATCTGTGTCTAGCTGATAACTATTCGCTGATAACTATTCGCTGATAGCTGCCAACATCTGCGAACAAATATAATCCTATAAAGTGGTTCTATATAGTGTGTAACTGTTAATATAGAGCGTTATTAAATTTATTGCTAATGCAATCATATGGCACACTGACTTCTGAGGAAATTTTAGATGGCACTCATCATCAGAAAGGTTGCCGACCCCTGCAATAACCTGTGAATCGTAATGAGTTGCGAGCTGGTGGACCAGTTACATTGTTCATGTTCTGTTTTTCTGATGGCTGCCAAATGGCAAGTCTTTCTTCCAGAAGACTCCAGTCACTGCTAGTCACCTAATGGCCAGGATGTCAGTGTGTCATCTTGTGGTCACAATGATTCCAACACAGATAACAGCTATAGTTCTTATTCTGGTACAAACTGGTGGTTCCTGCAGCAGGTGGAGAACTTGTTCACTTGCTGCAACCGTTTGACTGACTGAGGCTGCAGAAGACAAAAAGGTTTACCATCGCTAGCTACAGTCCATGAAAGTGGAGTTGGGCTTGCGACCAATCTTTTATTTATTTGTCAAAAAAGAAGAAGATCTAAATTAATGGGAAACACTTCAGCTTTGATATTAATCCTTTGCCAACAGTATGTGAGGAATGTGCTCTGCGAGTACCCTTCTTGGTTAATGACATCGCACATTTTGAGTCCCCTGCTTGCTGATTGATATTCGTTTTTCCTGATGGTTTGTGTCTTTTAACAGTGTTATATTGAACTTCTATCCATTATTATTGTTGACTTTTAATTCCTTAATGTCTCGTTACTAAACAGTAAACATGTTCTGTGCCGCATTCATAGGTTTGGTTTGAGCAAATGTAAACACAGGAGAGGGAAACCGTTTGAAACTGAGCTTCATGTGCTGCAATGTTAAGCACTGGCAGAATTACTTTCTTTTGATCGCAGTGGGTGCCCAGAATGTCAGTCTGTTTTTGATCATTTGCAATCACAACCAAATAGAGCAAGAATGTGGATCAGACTTATTATAGATATTGACATGATCAAATGCCACCAAGTTCTCTCTTCCTCCCCTCCCATCTTCTTCTCTTTCCCGTACAATCTCCCCTCTACCCCGTCTCCCATCCATCACCCTGCAGAGTGGAAACGCACACTCCCTGATGCAACCTCCTGCTATATCTGTGCTCTGTTTACTTTGGTCTGTCTGTTTTTGCCTGAAATTCATTTTTACTTAATCATCTCTGTTTACGTCCGGGGATTCACAGATTCCCTTTTGCAACCAGTGCAGACAAAAACAAACAAAATATTTAATCTGCGGCTCAAATGAAATTCAATAGTAGGTGTGAGCAGGGCGATCTTAAAATGTATTATATGGAGGAAAACAAATATACCTGTGCTCACCATAAACAGCAAAGCTTTTATGTACATATCATGAGTCCAAAAGACTTTCTAGAACAAGCTTTCCTGGTTACATTCTTACACTTGTTTTTTCATGGATGTCAGTGACACTTAGGATCTTTGCTGTTCTTTAAAGAAGCAGGAAGTCACAGTACCGCCATGTGGGATCTCATTATTCTCCAGCAGCAGGAAAAAACCTTCGAATTCAAGTGCCAAAACTTCCATCATAGTCGGGATACAATTTCATAATGTATGCACGACTTCTGTCAATTTTGGCAAGTTCACTTTCAAGCATGTGGCTTGGCTTCAAACATTGGTGGAGAAAAACAGAATCAATAACTAATCACAGGTGGATCGACATGCTGAATGGGAGCTGTGTAAAAAGCAACAACTAGCATGTAATCTGTTTTTACCTGGTAACATTTTTCCTGTAAGTAGGAATAAATCAATTCTTCTTTTTCTTGAACAAGCTGAATTTATCAGCTTGTGTGGTTCTCACAGACGGAGCTATTTCACATTTTCACGTCATTTTTAACTCGATGAACTGATGCATCACTTTCTTTTTTTCCCACATTATTGGCTTTCAGCATGGATTGCATCATTTTGTGTCACATTCTCCTAAAAGCCTTCTTTTATTTAAAAAGTTGCATTAACCATGAAGTGATTAATTAGGGTCGTTTATAGTCATACAGAAAATTATTTTTGTATGACTGACTTTTCTTCTTTGTTAATAATTCAGTTGGAGATTTGTTCCTGTGCTTAGAATCATTGTCCTGTTGCATGACTCAGTTTTGCCTAAGCTTTGGGTGTTGGATAAAGCCACACACAGGAACTACTTTGGTATGCTCTGGTATACAGAGGCGTTTATGACCTGTGCCTGCAAAAGAAGCTCAAATCATCACTCCTCCATTGCTGTACTGTAGCTGCCAGTTGAGGTGCTTTTGGTGATATTTCGCCAGCGTGGTGCCGTCCTGCATTATGGTTAATCATCTGTCAGAAGGACATTCACAGGGCCGTAAGGACCTTGACCTTACTGGTCAGAGCAGAGTAAGGACTGCCGCTACTGTCCACCAGTAGGACAAGAGACTCCGTGGAGAAGCAGCTGATTTTTTTGTTTGTTATTTATTTATCACAAAGTGCGCCAAATTTTTTTTCTTCCAAATATTTTATCCTACCACTGTTAGCTCTTTTTGCACGAGGTGCATGTCTACACAGACTCGCCACTTGTCCTTGTCTTTATTAGTATCTCTTTTTATTAAAAACGTGAGTTATGGATTAGAACAATTAATAAACTAGTCGTCACCTGGAAATCTTTGTGTGTGAGGGAACCCAATGATTTTCTGGCTGTGATGTGAATCTCCTTCCTGCTTTAACATTCCTGCAGCTGATGTTTGTGTGACTGACGTGTGCTTGTGTGCACACACCTGCGCTCTTCCAGGTGTGTGATGACTCACAGTCATCGCCGAGCGTTGAGCCGAGCATCTGTGAAGACTCCGAGCATCTTCCTGCTGTGACTTACAGCTGGCTCGACCTCTCGGAGCTAACCGCGCATAGTAAACAACCCCCGCCCCCCTGACAGGCATTTCAGAAATACGATGTGTATCTCGCCGCCTTCCCCCCTCCCCTTTGACTGTAACTCAGCCAAAATACACTTATCAGTGCTCAGTGGTTGTAATCTTTGAAGGGCTCGTTTTTCATTTGAGTGTTTATCCGCTGATTGTTTCCCTCATTGGTCATAAAATTTGTGCTGTAGAGGCCAAACGCTTTTATTGCATTGTCTCGTCTGTGAGCCCCTCTTGTTTTCATTACAGCCCTGATCACTAACCTTTCCCTGTGTTTTCCCCCCCAGGTTTTGTATGCAGAAGAGTGCCAAGTTGGTGCCAGGGGTGACGTTAGACCTCATTGAGAAGTAAGTGGCACTCCACAGCCATCCTTTGACTGTCTCCCTCTTTACAGGAGGGCTCAGTCTAAAGAGATCATTATCCTGTTTTCCTCGTGTCACTCTCTCCTGTCTGTCTTCCCGTCTGTCTCTTTGCTCTCGTCGCCGTCATTGTCAGCCCTCTCTGTTGTTTTCCATCCTGCAGGTATAATTCCCAGCCTTTGTTTCCTCCTCACAGTTGAAGCAGCAGCAGTTTGGCAGATTTAAAGCTGTGCATTTCTTGCATAAACCTGCGGGTGCCAAACGGCGGAGTGTGGAACATCTCTTGCTCGTAGGCACATACACTGAGATTGATATTAACATTCAATATGGATGTCATATCCAGAGTTTTAGTAGTTTCACAGAACCATCAGCGTGGCTCCTTTTTCAAACCTTAGGTGCGGGGGTAGGGTAAAGTGACACCGATAAACTAAGTTGACTGAGACTTGGTTTTTGAAGCCGTAAGTAACTTAAAAACGGGCTGTTAAATCTCAGCAGAAAACAGTACATCTCATTGGAAAGCACCTTGAGGTGCTGAAGTTGAAGACTGTGTCAGCAGTCTCTTAATGACATGTCACACTCTGTTTGCTTAAGGTGAGTAATCACTTGTCTTCACCTACTCAGATTATGATTTCTGCCTGTCACTGACAGCCTGTGAGTGCACATCCACACATTACTTCCACATCTCTATTATCTACTGGACTTTAATTAGTTTTTGGATGAGGGTGTACACGGAGAAACTGTGAGCTCGTGTGCTCATTCTTGTCCTGTGTGTCTTTATATTCTTTTTCCTTTTTGTGTGTGTTTTGGTGCTTTGTACACAGCAGCAGTCCCACAGTGACGCAGTTTTCCTTTCCTGTCCAAAACATCATTTTGTTCTTTGGAGAGGATATTTCTAATCCCTCAACTCTGTCAGTGGCTTTCATAGTAGTTTGGTTTCTCAGATTGTAGGGTTTATCCACCTTAAAGGTGATCTAGTCTGCTTTTCCTTTATTATCTTACCTTTAATAGTAGCTGGATAGTAGGAACAGTAGGTCAGAGGTTCGAATCCCAGCAAGGGTATGTCCCAGGCTAGGCCCCCATGCTACCTCAGTTTTGGGAACAATGGAGATACTGCTCAGAACCCTCAAACTCTCAGGTCTCTGGTAGAGGACCCAAGCTTGACCCAGTAAATCCAATGAGCCTAAAGCTCAAGACTCGGACTGCTCTAAATGCTCCGATTTCAGGAAGTTTTTTCCACTCATGGTGTATGATGTCGATGAGAGTAGATTTACTGCCATGGTCCTCGCAGGCACACAGGTCTGACTGCACCATGTGATGGTTAAATCGTTTGTTTGCAAGCGGCAGCTAATCAGAAGAAAGTTTGCAGAATAGTGAGGGTGGCCTTAAGGGGAGGGGCTAATTGTTGATGCTTCGGCCTGCTCCAGAGAAGACCAAAGGTATGACATAGAAAGACTTTCTCAGGTTGCTTTTTTAATCTTTGATTATTAGTTTTTCTTCCCTTTGTGGTGAACTCTGATGTAGCTTCCTTTGCAGCTCAGGCTCACTCCAGCTTCGATCGCACACATAGCTATAACTACCTACATCAGGTTACCTGCTGTTGATTTTTGGATCACTGCATGCAAAAACATCTGCCTGGATTGTGAAATCCCTAAACAAATGGGCACAAATGTCCTGGGACGAATCTCTCTTTAAGTTGCGTTCATGGAAAGTCAACACTTTCCACTAATGTGGAAATATATGCTGGACGCATGATCTTGGTTTGCAGCTCCGCTTTGTTTTGCTGCCCATCACAAAGTTAAAGGTGTCATTTGCAGGTTTTTATCGTCCTCTGGAAATATCCTGTCGCTTCTGCAGCAGAGGTGTGAACACAACATATTTACATATTCACTTGTAAGCTTTTAATTTGAAAAATCTGAAGAACAAGTTTGTTGATAAAACTGAGCACATATGGAAAAATAAGAGAGATGATAAAAATTCATTTCTCCTGATGCAAAAACCACACAGGTTTTCTATGTAGAGCTAAATCTTTCATGTTTCTTGTCATTAACCTGCTGCCCAGGATTATAATTAGGATTGTTTGTTCCTTTTTTCAGTTGTACTCACTCTGCTTAAAGTTTCTTTCCTCCAGCTGTTACATTTCATAAATGATAAATTATGTGACTCATCACTCACTGTTTATTTCTGCTCTGTTCATACTTAATATCTGAGAAACTACGTGTAGAAGAAGTATTTCACCTGTTGTGGGCCCAGAGGAGGTGCAGCTGTGTTATTTGTTGGGGAATTTACAGGTTCACTATTGACTTGCTTCCCAAGTTTCTGCGAGATTAGTGGGGATTAGTCATAATTCTAACAAGTCTTCTCTCCACAATTTATTTGACATGGTTCTTATTATCTTGACTATAAATCTTTTTGCTTGTTTGTACTTTCTGTCTGATCTTTTCATTTGTACACGCCATTTTTTCCCCCCACTACTCTCTCGTGGATGAGTGTTACAACAGTAATGCCCGAGTACACAACAGCCACAGCTCCTGCGGCACGACTCCCATGGCACGATGGTAAAACCACTAGAGCGATGAAGAACACCTTTGATGAAATAACCTCTTCTTCCATTTCTGTTTCCTTTCTCCCCACTTTCCACCTTCTCAACCACACCAACATTAGTCGCTGGGTTTGACAGTATCCATTCATGCTCTAGCTCTCACGTCCTGTTTGTCTTTCATCACTTGTCTCACCAGAATTATTCTGCAGTAAAGTAGAAAAAGTAATATATGACCTGAATGCTGTAAGGAGAATTTTAGCACCCAGAAATGTCACACTAGTCTGCGTCAGAGATGGCGGTAGGGAAAGCATTTCCCCTCTCGTCTCATTCTGCCGTTAGGCCGCGAGTAAAACACTGAACAGCAACATCAAAGACGTGAAAGGTTAACAATGGTGTGAGAGTCTTTCTGCTAAATCAAAATGAAATTCAAAGTAGTTTCTGTCAAAGACAAAGGCACAATCTTAAAGAATGGACTATGTTGTAGCTTTGATTCCTGTAATGGTCTCTTAGTATGTATAGCCACGGCAAGCAGAGAGAACAAAAAACCTTCAAAGAGAAAAATCCAGGCTGTAGGGTGAACCCGTCACACACATGCCTTCTCTGCTTGACCCTTCATGCTACCTGTCTGCCTCAGAGATGAACACAGCAACAAACAAAGCAGTAAAAGTGGTAAGGGTGCACGGCAGCAAAATGCTGACCTTTTAGTATAGGCTCAACAGATTGCATTGGAGATGTTTTCAACTTGAAACTGTCCTAATTTAAAAAAAAAAAAAAAAAGAGCTGTAAAATGTGTAATTCATGAGATACGTGACCTTGAGTTGATGCACAACCATGGAATTATTAACAGCAGGCTATTATATGAGGAATAAAACATGATACACAGAAAGACCAGTTTTTTGTTTTGTTTTTTTTTAAGATTTCTACATTAATATGACCAAAAGCAACATTTTATTTCCACACATTTACAGGCTCTTGTTTAAAGGGAATACAGTTAGACAGCTGAAGTGAAAATATTAGATTTAACCTCATATGCAATGTTTTTTCTGAAGAGCCGTGCTTTCTCCTCGGTCCTCTGCCATGCACCATCGCTGTCCACTATGTAGCTGATTGTAAACCTATAGGTATGCACCTTAGCCAATGAGAGGTCTTCAGACACTTACAGGCTACTTTACTGGACTGATCTTTGTTGATTGAGGGTAACTTGGGTCATGAATTCTGTCATGTGTAATCTGGGGGTTTTCGAACCTTTTCCAGCCTGTTGAGCATCTTTATTCTTGAGGCTGTGTTCATGTTCACTCCCTTTTATTTATGCACAACAGAAGTCATCTCAAGGGACTTGCTGTCAGGTAAACACCCTGCAGTATTAGATAGAGAACCTCAATGATCCAGATGTCTTCTATGAGCAAACATTTAGCGACAGTGACGAGGAAGAACGCCCTTTTAACAGGAAAAGAATCTATCAGAACCAGGCTCATGGAGAGGGCTCACCCTCAGCTTGGAGCAGATGTCCCCTAGTTCAGGATAAAAGAATAGGAGAACACACAGAGACCACAAACAACACAGCAGACGACATTCAAAGACGTGCAGCAGTGGCCTATAAACACTTGAAGCCTGAAACAAGAGTGGACTGCATCATGAGCCGGAGCCTGTAGCAGCATAACTCAGGGTCAGCCAATCCAGCCCTAGCATGAGTTGTCAAGATCACATTAAAGCAGGGTGCATACTCACAGAGTTGAGTTTTCATATTCATATTAATGCCGTACTTGTCTTCATTGAGGTTTCAGCAGACCTGAGTGTGACTGGCGAAGGTGTTTGTGTGAATTTAACACAGACGCTGGAAATCCTGATGCTTTAGTAGCTGTTTTGGCTGATTGCATCTCCTGCCTGTAGGACAGAGGGCTAAGTGTTGAGTCAGCTGGTGTCCGTCAAAGTGAAATAACGGATCATCTCTGAGCTCAGTATTTGACGTCATTAGTGACTTCTCTTCATTCAGATAATTCAAACATTCATTTCCACTGCTTTGCAAATTACGCTTGGCTGTATGTTCTGCTGACTTAGGGCGACTATAGGTAGTGACTTTTGTGTTTATCTCATCGCTTCGCTCTTGATACTAAATACTAGAAGTCTTAAAGCAGGGGTGTGGGAACTCCAGGCGTCAAGGGCCAGTGTCCTGCAGGTTTTAGATGTGTCTTTGATCCAACACAGCTGATTTAAAGGCTAAATTACCTCCTCAACTTATCCTGAAGTTCTCCAGATGCCTGGTAATGAACTAATTGTTTGATTTAGGTGTGTTGACCCAGGATGATATCTAAAACCTGCAGGACACCGGCCCTCAAGGCCTGGAGTTCCCCACCCCTGCCTTAAAGCTTCCGTTAGATTATGGAGTTCAAATGTGACCCTTGATTAAGAGTCGTACAGATAGTTTTTTTCATCTCAAACTTGCCTTAAA